CAACAGAAAAACATCACTCAGTCCAAGGGAAGATAGGCTGTGTTAACCCAGCATTGGACTCTCCGAGCAGTGCACTGGAGAATGTGTCATTTCTCTTTTCTGCCATTCTTTAACTTGTAAATTGATAAAAAGAAACGCTTACTGCAGAAGAGGAGCTTGTCCTGTTATGAGATAGAGATCCTTACTTTTAATCTCATTGTCAAACTGATTTAAAAAGTATATAAAAGAACTCAGTGACAATTGCTTTGCAAAGTGAAGCAAATGAGCAATTGTGAAGGAATGAGCCTTTCAGATGTCCTCTGACTTTTATAAGTGTGCCTGATCCTAATTCCATATTAAACAATACTAAGAGTTTAAAACCAATAGTCCATGTCAATCAGGAACAATTAAAAGGATATGATTCAGAGGTGGGTTGCTCCCAGTTCGGCCCAGATTGGGCAAATCGGTACTAGCAGTGGTGGAACACTCCTCCCACTCACCCGGACGCTTTTGCCCATTTGCAGAAGCTTCTGCACATGCACAAGTGAGTGAGCCCAAACCGGTAGTAAAAAAATTGGCAACTCACCACTGATATGATTCTAAAAAGATTTATAAAGCTTTAATCTCCTGAGCAGAAATGCCCATTCTAGAAAGTTTTCCCCCCATAATCAGAGAACCAGGAGTGGAATGGAATGGGGCGTTGGTTCTTACCTGATACACCCCTTCTTGAGGCAGGTGAAGACAGCGGTCATGCATGGGTTAACTCAGTAACCAATAGAACTGAGTCTACCAAAGTGATGTCATCGCCTCTGAGAAGTGTCCTCCCGCTTTGATGACGGAGATAAGTAGACTGCTGTGCATTATGAAATTGCTCTCCATCCTCTGATGTTCCAGTGTTTCTCCCAGATCTCCCACTGCGATTGGTCCCAGGTCTCCCTCTGCGAACTAGGCCAGAACCTGAAGGGTGGGGATAACCCCTGTCTCCACCTGCCTCGAGAAGGGGCGTATTAGGTAAGAACCAACACCCCATTCTCCAAAGTTGGTGGAGACAGCGGTCATGCATGGGACGTACCAAAGCTGGATTTGTCCCCGGGTGGGAATGAGACTGGACTCATTCCAGCTTGAAGAAGGAAGAACCTGTTGAAAGACCTGCTGTCCAAATGCCGCATCTGCTGACACGTATCTATCCACCTTATAATGGCGGATAAAGAAAGTAGGAGTAGCCCAGGTGGCTGCTTTGCAGTTCTCTTCCACCAAGGCCTGTCTTGTCCATGCTGCTGACATGGCCACTCTGCATGTGGAATGTGCCGTGATGTTGGATGGAGGCATGAGATGATGTGCCAGGTAAGCTCTAGAGATGGCTGACCGGATCCAGCACCCGACCATAGATGGAGAAGCTTTTAGCCCCTTATTTGTGGGATGAAAAGACATGAAGAGCGCTTCAGTGCGCCTGAAGATTGCTGTCTTGGCAACATAGATATTAAGAGCACATCTGACGTCTAACCTGTGCCATTTGCGTTCAAGACTGTGAGAAGGATTAGAGCAGAAATTTGGATGGTGAGGTCTAGAGATTGATGAAAGACCAAATTTACCTTTGGAACAAAGGTGGGATCAAGGCAAAGGACCATACGGTGTGAATGAAATACACACAAGTCAGAACAGATGGAAAGGGCTGCCAATTCTGAGGCCCGCCGTGCAGACGTGATAGCCACCTGAAAGGCTGTTTTCAGGGTAAGGTGATGCAATGAGGCCAACCTGAGAGGCTTGAAGGGTGGTCCAGTGAGAAAGTCAAGGACCTTGGACAGAATCCATGAGGGGAAGCGGTGTATGACAGGAGGGCAGATTAGACGCGCCCTTAATGAAGCGGTGTACATGAGGATGCAAGGAGAGGGGCTCCTCCCGGTGCAGGGAGAGAACCAAAGAGAGCCGACACTTGCCTCCATAAAGTGTTTGGTGAGAGTCCTTTATCAAGCCCTTGTTGCAGGAACTCCAAAACCTGGGGGACCGAGGGTTTCAAGGGAAGTAACCTCCTTACAAAGGCACCATGTGATGAAAGTCTGCCATGTTGATTCATAGATTATATTACTGGCTGGGCGTCGAGAAGCCTGAATAGTTTGAATTACCATCTCAGAAAGGTTAGCTGCCCTCAAGACCGCCCACTCA